GGGTCCTCCGGAGGACCCGGCCTGTCATTTTGGACACAGCCAGCCAAACTCTGGCTCCCCAGAAGAGAAGGAGCCAAATGGCCGACTGACTGCTGACAGCTAGTGGTCGGAGGCTAAATTACAACACAAAAATGAACTGCTGGCATGAAAGCTTACATTTTAAACCTTAATTAAAAGTCAATACAGGGCTTTAGAGAATCAATACAGTACCGGGAAATGAAATATTGCAATATTTCAGTGTATCAAAATTTYCTTACACCCCTAACAATTAATGCAACAAACGAGCCCCTTAAGGTAGTATTCAACTGGAATACAAGTGTTAGAGACAAGCTGAGACTTACAGTGAGAAAATACACCATTTTTTCAGTTGGTCTCACTGAAATCCAAGTGTTTGCAGCCAAAGAGCCGTGTGAACATGTTTTGCATGCCCAGTATTTGAAAATCAGCTTATTTTTGTGAGCACAGCTAACCCACATCAGACCTGCCTTGGCAGTAGCCTTTACTTTTAGTCAAGTGTGCTCTGTGTAACATCAGCATCATTGTTAGCTAATTTTCCAGATAAAAAAAATACGTCTGTCTGTAATCAGATAATTTTCACMATCCTCCTCCTCCTCACCATCACATTCATGATCTGCAGTTCCTTCAGGACAAAGTCCACCTTCTTCTGTGTGGTGAGGGAGGCAAGAACAGCATTGTGGTTCCTGCAGGCCAGCTTGGCRTTATCGTACGACTCGCTGGTTGTGTTGAACTTCAGACAAGAGTTGCCAACCAAGTGCCAGGTTTCACCGCATACATTCTCTGGAACAGTGAAAACAGGTGGTAGTACTGTAAGAACTAAAGGTACCGCCTGGGTTGGTACAATATCTACAATACAAACTAAGACCTACAATTTGTACAAAATAAACTTTAATTATTCCTTATTATCTGCTGCCAAAATGAAAAGGGAATGCAGTTATGTTTTTGCCCATGTTTGTTAGCAAAATATTTCATGAATCACTAGTTGTAAATTAGTCAAGATACTGAACTAAGGTTTAATGAGGTTGCAGTTGAGAATTAAGTTAGGTAATTAATTGATTGTGGGAGATCTCTAAATATCACATAAAGACCAAACATAAAATTATTTACGATTTATCATAATTGAATTTAAAAAAATGACTGACTTCTGACCAAGAATTAGACCCAATTTGTGAATTCTTGTAGTCCCAGAGGAAATATTTKTCCAAATGTAGATGCAACGATATTCTAATGGTAACTTGTAAATTACTCTGARCTGCAGAAGTGACCTACTTTTCCTCTGAAAATCTAAATCCCTCACTGACKGAATGAGATATTTTCAAACCTAGGGGGCTCAAGTGAAAGGGTTTTGTAGACTTTCAGTTCAAATAGACTTCAAACACCCAAATACACAGCGTGCTATCATGCACAAAATGAGACTTTTCATGAGTTCCCTTAAGCAAGCATTATGCTCACCTGCATAACAATTTTAAACTGAAAGGTCATAGAAATTCCCTCATACAGTAACTCCTGAGTTCACAAAGTTATAGTGCTGTAAGTGTAAAATATTTGGTAAAATGTCATGTTTTTCTTCTTGTGTATTAAGTTAAGCCAATGAAATAGTAAAAATTTAATGCAATGCCAATAATTACATGCATTTAAATTTCCAGTAATCTTACCAGGCAGTGAGATGCACTCTTGGTTGCGAACATCCCACTGACAGTTCTGGTTTACAGCACAGCTCTTGCAGCTTGTTTTTTTGTTGCACACATATGAAGGGTTGTCTTTGGGGCAAACTTCAAACTCCGTTATGGCTCCCTGAGAAACAAAAGCCAAAACGATGATTTAAAATAAACAACATATTCTAAATAGTTACGATAAAGACAAATTGACAATTTTATGATCTGTAA